TTTAATAGAAAGATGAAATGACATTGTCTGCATGATGGAATGTTTATAGGTGACGAAATATTTTCGTCTTCCATAACTTATCATTCATAGACAAAAATATATTTGTCGTCTAATAAATGGAAATATGCAACGACATCGTTTAATAGGTATGAGATTTATTGGCGATGAATTACGTTCGTCACAAAAAAAAATTATATTTTGTGACAAAAATGTTCGTCTTCAATGAGCTAAAATAATTCGCGCCAATGCAAATGAAATTAGCGCCTCATTTTTGGAGACGAAATTTTCCTATACGTTTGAGAAAAATTAAAACAAACGACAAATTTTTTTAATTTTTCGTAATCTTTAGGTTAAATTTTAAGACCAAAAAAAATTTCGTCACCAAATTTTGTCACAATAACCTAGATTTCTTGTAGTGTTATTATCTCTGAATGATCCTTAATGATGTGACATTGAGGTTAAACCTTACATGATAGAATATTTGACAAATTAAAATTTGGCACTTATCAGACACATCATTAAGAATGATTTTTAAGGGTGATAAATTAGATATCTCAAACATTTTTCAAATAATAAATCGTAGGGTTGGGTATAAGGTTATCCAACCTGCGAAAATCACCCAACCTAAATTGCCTGTACCTATTCAGGCGATTTCGCATAATTGCTAGGGTTAGATACAGGTTAGAATTTTCCTATTTTACAAGTTGCCGGTGGGTCGCGATTTTTACTCGCACCTGCACCTGCACCTGCACCTGCACTCACCCGCCTACATATGTATTTTTTTTTTAAATATGGACAGTCAAATTTTCTTGTAAGTTTTGTAAGTGTATAACCCTAATCTTCTCTTCTCTCACTCACTTACAAGTAAACAAATGTTTTACGACTTGTTTTGCATTACAAGTGTGGAAACCTAACAAATACTAGTAACTTGTAATAAAATAAGTAATTCGTGGTTGTGCTTCTTATTTTTTACTAGTTAGTGAGTTCAGCAAACCCTAAAATCAATTTTTCAGAAGAGATGTTTGTTCTATTTTTATTAAAATAATTATGGATTTTGTTTAACTTATACATTTTCTGCAAAGTGGATATGAGTTAATTGCTTGTTCTTATGATCAGTTTCCTTCTAGAAGTAAATAGATGGATAGGCTATAATTTATTTAGAATAAATCATTTGAAAAATAATGATTTAATGATAGGAAATATGTGATTTTATGAGGCCTCGAATTCGAGGCTTTGAATTTGCCTCGAATTCTGTTTTTTTTTTGGCTGTGTTAGTTTGGTTTTTTTTTTTTCCTCTCTTTTCTTTTCTTTTCTTTTCTTGCAAGGATGGTTATGTGTAGGGGTATGCTAAAAAACTAGACATTTCACACCACCTCAACCTATATGATTTGATAAGGTGAGTGAGTTCGGTTAGACTGATTGGGTGATAAAATTAACTGATTAGTTAGGTTACTGGTTAAAATTTGTTAATTTCATATAATTTTGTACGAGTCTATATTATATTTTTATTTCAAATCAGGAAGACTAAGAGGAAATTGAAATCAAAGCCATTTTAACTGCAAAGTGGATATGAGTTAATTGCTTGTTCTTATGATCAGTTTCCTTCTAGAAGTAAATAGATGGATAGGCTATAATTTATTTAGAATAAATCATTTGAAAAATAATGATTTAATGATAGGAAATATGTGATTTTATGAGGCCTCGAATTCGAGGCTTTGAATTTGCCTCGAATTCTGTTTTTTTTTTTTGGCTGTGTTAGTTTGGTTTTTTTTTTTTCCTCTCTTTTCTTTTGTTTTCTTTTCTTGCAAGGATGGTTATGTGTAGGGGTATGCTAAAAAACTAGACATTTCGCACCAACTCAGCCTATATGATTTGATAAGGTGAGTGAGTTGGGTTAGACTGATTGGTGATAAAATTAACTGATTAGTTAGGTTACTGGTTAAAATTTGTTAATTTCATATAATTTTGTACGAGTCTATATTATATTTTTATTTCAAATCAGGAAAACTCAGAAGAAATTGAAATCAAAGCCATTTCAATTTCTTCATAATCTTCCTAATTTGAAATAAAAATATAGTAAGGACTCATACAAAACTATATGGAATTAACAAATTTTAACCAGCAGTCTAACTGATCAGTCAATTTTATCACCAAATCAGTCCAACCCAACTCACTCACCTTATCAAACCATATAGGCTGAGGTTTTTTTTTTTTCCTTCTATTTGTTGGGTTGTGTTGGTTTGTTTTTTTTTTATATAATTTTATTTTATTTTATTTGTTGGGCAGTGTTGATTTATTTTATTATTTTTATTTTTTTTGTTAAAGGTGGTTATATGTAGGGGTGTGCCAAAAAATTAGACACCCCACACCAACTCATCGTACAAAATTATATAGAATTAACAAATTTTAACCAACAGCCTAACTGATCAGTCAATTAGGTTGGACTGTTTGAGTGATAAAATTGACTGATCAGTTAGGCTATTGGTTAAATTTTGTTAATTTCATATAATTTTGTACGATGAGTTGGTACGGGATGTCTGATTTTTTGACATATCCCTACATAAAACCATCCTTAAAAAAAATTAAAAAATAACACAACCCAAAAAAAAAGAAGGGAATTCGAGGCCTCTAGTACTACCGTTTTAAAAATAGGGAGAAAATACCCAAAACGAATATTTAAAAAATTGAGAAAAACAAATCCAAAAATAAATTTTTAAATGAAAAGTCCAATCCGCAAATCGTCTGCAATTGCCCACATATCTGCGAACTATATCCACACAAATCGCAATCTACACTGCGAACAGTTGTGGGTTCATTTTTTCAAAATCGCTGGCATATGGGCGTGTCTAAACCGCAAACCGAACCGTCAAAAATTGATCCAAGGGCACCCTAATAAATAAAAGTTGCACCACATTTTTTATTTTTATTTTTTTTTTGGGTAAATTACAAATACACCCCTTCATATTTGATTAAAATACGAATTGTCCCATGTGGTTTTGGAAATTGCATTTCACCCCTGGGATTTCTAATTTCATAACAAATCACTCATTTTATTAATAAATCATCAAGTCAATTAACAATATTTAATGATGTTAAAAATATGTTTCAATTAATAATTTAGATAATTTTATTCATATATAGGAGATCAATAATGAATTTTATTTTTTTAATTAATTCTGTTAAATAAAAAATTCTAACAAGGGGTATTTGTAATTTTTCAAACCATAGGGGACAATCTGTAATTTAAGCAAATCTCAGGAGGTGTATTCGTAATTTACCCTTTATTTTTTAAAGAGACATTTACACACAAATCTTAATTTATGAACTTATACTCCCTTAAGTCTTAACTAAAATTTTTTGAACGTTCAAGTCCCATTAAATTTTTAACAATCAGAATTGTCCTTCAAATAATAATTGTTATTTATAAAGAAACATAATAATTTAATATTTATTTTGAATTTCACAACTATAAAACATTATCTTTCAAATTGAAAAAAATAAAAAAAAAAATTATGTTCTTGGTTAGGGGTGTGCATAATACCACCGAAACCGCCGAAACCGCCAAAACCGCACCGAACCGCACCGCCAAAGCAAATTCGTTATTATTTGTCAATTGAACCGCCGATTTTTGGTAAGAAAAATGGCAAATTCTAGTGACACTTTTATCAATCCGCCGGTTTCTATTTTTCTTCCAAACCGCACCGACCCGCACCGCTATTAAATCATGTTTTATAGGATTCTAAAAATTCTTTTTTACTTAAGTGTGCTTGTTGTTCTATACCTTAGAATCTAGTATTACATTACTGCTCGAGGGGAATTTTATGTATTGTATTTGATCATCGTAGCTTCCACAGATGCTTGTAATGAACTGATGGTATAGTCGTTGATATTATCATGTTGTTACTACACTTGCTACATCAGAAGAAAGCTTTACAAGATGCTTAACATTACGATATCTCTCATCTTTTTTTTACTCTTTGATTTAAATTTTGTAATTTGAATTATATTTTTTATAAACCGCCAATCCGCCCGAACCACCTAGGCAAATCCGTCATTATTTGCCAACCGAACCGCCGGTTTTCGATAAGGAAAATGGCAAATTCTAGTGACACTTTTATCAATCCGCCACCCGCCATACGGTTTCTATTTTTCTCTCAAATCGCACCGACCCGCACCGCGCACACCCCTATTCTTGGTTAAGTCCAAAAATCGACGTGTTTGGTTTATGTTTTTCAAACTTATTTTTTTAAAAATTTTAGAGTTTTTGCTTGGTTAAGTCCCAAAATAAAAAATTCAAAAATTTTTTGTTGGATGCACATTTGGAACAAGCAATATGATTTGATGTGACTTAGGCCAAGTTTGGAAACTTGTAAAAAAGTTAAAAAGTTAAAAAGTTACTCAAAATGTTAATACTATCCACCAAAAGTCAATAATTATAGCTGCACAACTCCCCATTCGAATTTTTTCCTACAAATCAATTTTTATAATTTTTTATTATACATTTTTCTATAAAAAGTCAAAAAGTTAACCCAAACAACTATATTTTCAACCTCAATTTTTTAGTCCAAAAAAGATAAAAAGTGCATTTATTTAGGACACCTCAAACAACCTCTTATTCTCTTTTGTTTTGCTTTGTTTATTTTTTTTTTTATATTTTTTTTTTGGTGTTGCTGATTAGTTCCAACAAGTGTACTGAAAGTGTAATGTAGTGGGATTTTGAATTTTAGATTGACACAATATTTGATGTGGAGAGATTTTAAATTTATAAATAAAATAAAATTTAAAAATATTTTTATAATTGATGTTATAAAAGTTCGTAACAAAATTATTTAATTTTTTTTATATTAATTTATAATTAAATTACATATTTTATGATTAATATCATAAAATTTTATAATAGAGTTACAGATTTAATGATAGAATATTCACCTATATAATAAGATACGTATCAAATTATTATTTTGATACATATACAGCATGTTCATGCATATATATATATATTCGCTAGTAATCAATCTCACACACACAAAAGTCTCGGTAATGGGTTCTTCCGCCGCACCACCAGGCTCCGGCGCGGGAGTACAAAACCCTAGAAAATCATTAGGGTTTCTGGCAAATGCATTGAAGAGAAAAGACAGCTTCATACAGTTCCTTGCCATGACTGGAATTCTACTCCTCAGCGTCCGATCATTGGGTCAGAAGTACCGCATCAACGACCTCCTTGAGGACACCTCTGCCCTAAGAGAAGAGCAACAAGCCCTCTCCGATCGCATGAATCAAATCAAGAGCAGCCTCCTCGCCGAAGCCTCTCTCGAACCCTCCGGTCTCTTCGCTTCCAGGCTTCGCATTCTCTTCGCCGACGATTGATTGATTCAACCATCGAATCGGGATGTTGTAAGTGAGTGTTCGAGTACTACTGATAAGTTAGGGCTTTCAGTCTTCAACTACTTTTATGAATAGTGTTTGATTTCATCGATTTTGATAATCTCTTTGAGAATGAATGATTATAGATATAATAGTCTTTAGTGTGGGATTAATTGCAATGAAACTTTGAAAATTTGGCACTGTTTGGTTCTGGAGTGAATGATGTTGCGTTGCGTTGCGTTTAATTGAGTTTTATCCCAATGTTCTGTATTGACTCTGATAACCTCTTTGAGAAGGATTATAATTTTAGTCTAATTGAAATGAAATTTTGGAAATTAGGATCTGTTTGCTGTCTTAAACTCTATGGATAGTATTTGATTGGCTTTGAGAGTGATTGGGATTAAAATTAGGCTGTCATTCTGGAGAGAATGATGAAATTGAAATAAAATGCTTCAATCAATGTGATAAAATATGGCTTTTAGGCGTTTTCCTTCCTCGTTCTCATCCTCATTCTCATTCTCATTCTCATTCTTTCGAAAAATGAAATAAAGGCAGTGTATTGATATGTAACCTTATCAAATATTCATCAGTGATTTGATAATTGATTGAGCTTACTTTGTTACATGGTTGGTTTGTCTTTGAGATCTATTACTAACCCATCCCAAATTGTTTGTCCGGCACAAAAAACAATAACTTAAAAATAATGTAATCAGGAAAGTCTTTCATCATTTTGTAAAGAATAATCAAGATGCCATCTTAAAAGCTGAAAGAAGCAGAGCTTCTTCCTTTAAAAAACTAGAAATTTACCTAAACCGTGTTTTCAGTTGAAGATGAAGAGAATGATATGAGAACAAGACAAGAAATCATTCCGGAATTTCCATTCCATATGCTGCCCAAATTTTATTGGTTATATGTTCATGTAACTATGTCACCTGTGGATAAAGTGATATCTACAGATTTAGGGTTGTAATTAGTTCACAATTCTCGTTGATTGCGATTTGGCTAATCTTTTACTATTTGAAGTGAACATATAATTTTTCACTATATTTGGTAATTAAAAATGGTGGTTGATATTGTTTTCGAAGAGTTTGTCGACGGTAAATGCTAATTACCCCCAATGGGTGGTCATTAGCCTTTATTTAAGTGAAAAATACATTGAAATTTTGACTGTTTTGGCAATATTCCACCTAATTGACATCGTAGTGGGCTGGTAGCCTTATCCTTTTTTTTCATTTTTGATTGGGCCATGACCCTTTGTTAAATTCTCGTGTAACTTGACTTTTTATGGTTTTCCTGGTATGTTGGATTCGTGGATTTTGTATGCAATGGCCAATGTATCTAAGCATGTGTAACTTCCTTATATATGACTTTGATAGTTTCCTTGTCCTTTTTCTGATCAATTGTCCTGGAAATTCAAGTGATAGTTTTGAGGACTTCCAATGTCATCTATTGGAAGTTAATCTTATGTATTTAAGAGTATTTTCTACTGCATTTTAGTTCTTGGTCGCCTTGTTTTTTAATCTTTGTATACCCTTGGTTAAAGGATAAGCTTAGAGAAAGGCCTAGATAGTGATGTTGAACTATAAAAGAAAGCAATTATTTTGCTAATATAATTAAGTTTGACTTTCTCTGGGGAGGCAGCTCTAGATTTTTCTCTCTTTTTTTCATAGGAATTTAATTGTTACTATGGAGATGGATTTGATGGAAGGTCAAGCTTTCAGAATTAAAGATTGGATTTTTTGTTGATTCAATATAAGAGGAGGCAATAACCTGTCGATGGTTGGCAGATGAATTATAAATGTTGAATTATGTAGCATGGTGTGATTTCCTGTCGTGAGTGATTAAGTTATTCTACTAGATTATCAAGTTTATAAAGTTCTAGATTGGGGAGGGGAAGCCATAAGGAGTCATGAATGAGAATAGAGTTATAATTTTGGTTTTGACCAATTTACAAGTTATAAATAGGAAAACATTGCCTTGGGTCTTGGGGTGTACTCCGTTCAAGGTTGAGAAATCGAAATCTCTTAGGTGTTACCAATTCCGCAAGGCCATTGGACTAGGAGAAAATCTTTAAATTAACCATGGTGCGCTTGAGAGAACTCTTTGCCTAGGACTTGTGCACCCTCAAGGATTACTTGGGCTTTGATCTAGACACCCGGTGTTAATAAAAAAAAAAAAATTAGGAACACATTGCATGGGGGTCTGGCCAAAGACTGTAAAGGACATAAGGTGAGGAGAATCATTTTGGATCCAATTCTTGGATAACCAATGGAAAGGATTATACTTGTATATATATATATATATAGAGAGAGAGAGAGAGTCCCTAAAGTTTATAATTTCTGTTCAGAAAGGATTATACTTGTATATATATATATATATAGAGAGAGAGAGAGAGTCCCTAAAGTTTATAATTTCTGTTCATTTGGTCTAATTGGAGATGAATATACAAATCAATAAATAACCCTTGAAGCCTAATTTAAATTTTATTTTTTTAAAAAAAGTTATTACATAATTTGAGCAATTTAAATCATACCACAAAACACTCGATGTTTTTTTTATTATTTTGAAGAAATTACACCCAACTAATTTAATGGGTGTTTGATTGTATGATTTAAGTAGTTCAAATTATAAAATTACTTTTTTGCAAATCAATTTAGGATTTAAAGATTATTGATTTGTACAGTCGTTTCTAATTGGATCACATGGACAGAAATTACAAACTCAAAGACTAAATAGACGAAATTAATAGTTTAGGGGGAAAAAAAAATACTGGTGATAGTTTAAAAGTGAAATTAACCCTAATTATATTTGTTCACATAATTGAGGTCATATTTGACAGATTTGGAACTGTTGTGACAAAAAATTGGATGAATAGGTGAATTTCCAATGTCCTACTGTGGCTGTGTTCCTCTTGTTATGGTAACCTAGGTACCAAAAAATAAGGTATGACCTAAATGGTGAAATTAATTTGTGCAGTTGTCCTTCTTCCACATGGTAGAGGTAAACATAACTGGAAGATGGGTAGGTCCTGGTGGAGGTTATCGATACCTTTCCGTACTTTGTATTTGCAGTATGGAGTTTTGCACAGCAAGTCGACAGTATTCTATCTTCTTTCCCTTGGTTTGAACTGGCTTGTCTATAATTTTTAGCATAAAATTAAGACTGCAAATAAATAGAGTCGTCTGCGAACAAACTCAAGCTCGAATTGGTAAATGCTAGTTCAAACTCGATTCATTAAATTTTTATTGGGTTCGAAATCCAACTTGTTAAAATATTAATAAATAAATCTAAATATACTAAAACTCGACTCGTTAGTTCAACTCTGACTTGTTTAACATTTATTTAAATAATAAAATAAATACACTATTAATATATTAAATAATATAAAAATATGATAAGTATGTTATTTATATATTTAAAAAATGTGAATGTGAATAATAACTAACTATAGATAATACATTTATATACAATGGAGATTAGATATTATTCTGGGAAAATTTTGACTTTTCTTTTAGTATGTTTAGATATATTGTATATATAATTGTATAATCAAAGTTTCAATTGTAACTTTAGTCTCATATGTAAGTATGAATTTATAATTTTTTGGGGTCGTTAAAACTCGTGAATAGGCTTGAGCTCGAGTCAAGCTTAAGCCAACTCGGCTCGAGCTTGGTTCGTTAAATTTTTATTGAACTCGAGTTCGTAAAATCTTTATAAATAAATCCAAACATACTAAAACTCAGTTCGGCTAGGCTTGTTTGCAACTCTACATATAACCATGTTGAGAGAACTAAGATTCGTCTTGAACCAGTTTTTGATTTGCTGTGGCAGTCTAGTAGTTGCATATGCTATGCTAAGATCCTTTATACAGGTTCTTATTTCCCAGAAAGTCTGACATGGAAATTGCTTAATTGCAATGAAGAAATAAGGAGGATGCTGCTATGTTTCTCGACATATTTGAAGTTAGTACTGTCTACAATTGAGATGTATTTTCCTAGGCTATGTATCATGCGTAACAGGTAAACCTTGGTTGTGTAACACATTCATGTGGACTCACATTTGTGTTGTACCCGATACACAAGATGTCATCACATTTTCGTTTTCTTACCTTCATGGATGTATGATGTTCTGATGAGCTTAGATACTAGGAGGCATTATGCGTTGGCTTGAAATTGAAGCTCTCTTTCTTTACATGTGAAGGCTTGAAGTTATGTCATTGATTCATTGCCTCTGTACTTATGCTCAAGCTTGCTAGACTTTGAGCCCTTGTACTCCTTGACAATAGCCAAAACTAATGAAGACATGTAGCAGCATAAATGTTATATCATGCTTAAGAAAATGAACACGTTTGCACAACTAGTTGAAATTTATGTGCTGGATATCCAAAAAGTGTATTGATCTACCTAAATTTGCGGGCCGATCAAAATACATGTTTGGTTCACGCCTTGTCTAGTGTATGAACAAAATCGGACTCCATGCTTAGGGCTGTGTGTTGGGCGGGTTCTCTCAAATTTTAACCTAGTATGCTTAGCGGATGTTTGGTCTAGGTGTAGTCCAATCAGAGTCAAGGCTTGAGGCCCAAATAGCTAATTTGGTTTTGACTGGAGATGGACCAACCAAAATTCATTTATCAACCTTTTGAAGGACAGGTGGAGGATCTTTTTTCGGTTTGACAAAAACATATGATTAATTCTATTTCTACACACTAATTTCTTTCAGTATACATATTTAATAAACATTTTTTCAATACACACATTATAAAATTATAAATTCTTAGTACACATCTTTATATTCTCATATTACCCTCATTTTCAATTTTAAAACCCTAAGGCTATGTTTGGTTTCAATGTTTGAATCGATTTTTTGAATTTTTTTTGAGAAATTTATAAATTAATTTGAAAAAAATAAATAGCAAAAAAATATTTTTTAATTTTTTAATTTTTTTGTTCCTAGAAAGATAAAACCATAATGAAATGGGATGTTTTTATTTATTTATTTTTGAAAACATATTCTAAAATTAGATTAAAAATAGTCTATTTTTTTATTTATTAACCTATTCCTCCTTTATTGCCGTTGTTGCAATTTTCAATCCTCCATCGCCGCCGCCACTGCCACTTCTAGTTCATTCCCCTCCATCCTAGACCTCGACAATCAACCTTTGAATTAATGGAAGGGGATGACAATGAGAGAGGTGGCGCTAACGATAGAAAATGGTTGTGATGTTTTAGAATTAGGGTTTAAATAGAAAAAGATGGGGGTATTATAGTATTTTTATTCTAAGACAAAATTGTATTAATGAAAATTTTCATCAAGTGTGTGATCTGAGAAGAATTGGTGTGTGGAAATAGAATTACCAAAAAAATATAGGTGGAGGATGAAGAAAACTGAAAAGGTCATCAAAATTTAAAATTTTGAAATTTGAAAGTAAAATCTCAAGCAATTGTATAGAGGCAATCAAGGAATGAAAAAGGCGTGACAAAGTTCATATCAAATTAAGATTTGACTTTCCATAACTACAATGGAGTTAAGGAGAGAAAGTGCTCGTGAACCCTTTTCTACCGAAGAAGCCGATTTGCTCCGGCGTAGTAAAAAGAAGGTTAAAATAAGGTGAGAGAATGGGTCGATAGAAGAGATCGGTGTGGTTGAAGTCAACACTGTTGAATTGAAAGGCGTCGAATATAGCCCCCGTGGTACCCAAGTGTTTTCCTTTCGAGAGGCCCTTACAAATGATAATACCAAACGCTGGTATACTGGCGATAGTGAGGATGATGAACTTGTTGATTCTGTCGATGTTGATGGTGATAGCGCAGGTTCCACCTCTCACTGGCCTCGGCTCTCTGTTCCACTGGATGAATTAGTCAAACTCCGAGCTCTATGGCGCAAAGCTCTCATCGTTAAAGACTTAGGGCGAACCGTTGGTTTTAGTCTCCTAACCCAGGGGATGAAACAAGTGTGGCAATTACAACAGCATTTTGACATAGTTGACGTCGGAGAGGGTTACTACTTGATTCGTTTTGCTTGTAAAGTGGATTACCTTCATGTCCTTCTTGATGGGCCATGGATTGTTCTTGGGCATTACTTAACGGTGAGCAAATGGCGACCCGATTTCCGACCAGTTTCCGATGACCTCGTTTCTACAATGGTATGGGTTCGATTTCGTGGTATCCCGATTGAGTATTTTAATGAGAAATTATTGATGTGATTAGGGAATTTGCTTGAGCGAGCTATTAAAACTGATAGGCTTTCCGCTGATGCCATTAAAGGAAGGTTTGCAAGAGTTTGTGTTGAGCTCAATCTGAAACATGCACTCATCTCTAGGGTGAGCATCAATAATATTGAATTCCTTGTAGAATATGAAGGCTTACATCTTATCTGTTTTGAGTGTAGCAAGTATAAGCATCGTCAGGAAGTTTGTCCATCGTTGGTTCTAGTGCCAGCACCCAAAGTTGAGATGGGGATTGTCCAATTGCTGACGACCAGAGTTGAGAAGGCTCAGAAATTTGGACCATGGATGATAGCGCAGACACGTAATAGGAGTACAGCCACTAATCGCTCTCGTACAACCTCTGCCACTAAGGGTGATTCGGTAACCACGTCCCAGGGTGCTCGCACGTCGCCTAATGCACGACCCACTCTGCACAAGGGTAAGGCAATTATGTCACTGGCACCTTAGGCTCTCGTTTTTCAATCCTACATGAAGGGGACATTACTGAATTACACAACTCTTTTGGGCCATTTAACTCTTTTGATAATTTATCAATCGGGCCTTTCGAGTTGGGCCATGGTTCTACTTCTGGGCCCTCCCCCAGTACTGAACAGCAGCAGCCAAGTTCCAAGGCCCATTCCAATAAGCCCAAAGCTCATTCTTCTATTCCTAAGGCCTTTAATGCCTCTTCCAGTCAGACAAACCATCCTAAATTTCCATAGTCACACACATTCCTAATCCCCCTCCCAATCTTCCACATCCTACACTCCTCCCTACCCCCTTCCCTTCTTCCACCTCTCTGGACAATTTTCGCCCCCTTCTCTCATTTAAAGCTAGAGGATCTGTTAAGAGCCACACCGATGGATCGGTTTTGCGACCTACACCCCCCACCATTGCCATCTCCTTTTCAGATGATCGAATTCCTGAGATTTCTACTTGTGCCAATCATGGTCGGCCACCGGACCACTCGGCCCACCTTTGGTCATTCCTCCCGAGATGATCACTGTGGTCCTATTGAAAATGAGCCTCGTTCACAATGTTCCAGTGAAGTTGGGGAGAGTTGCGAGTTTACAGATGGTGTTGCAACGGGGTTAGATCGTTCAGGATCAACCCAGATAGAGCTCTAGCCAAGTGTTTGGCCTCCCATTAATAATCATCCCCATGAAGCTCCTTGTCTGGAATTGTAGAGGTGCTGGTGGTGCTACAACTGTCCATACGATTTGTGAGCTTGTTCGAGCGCACGACCCGGCGGTCTTGGTGTTACTTGAAACCAGGGTTCAAAGTCTAAAAGCTAATCGCATCCTTCGTAGGATTAGATTCTCAGCCATGGCCACTGTTGAAACGCTAGGTTTTGTTGGTGGGATATGGTTATTATGGAGAACTGACTTGGTTAATGTGGAGGTTCTACCACCACATTCTCAAGCTTTAAGTGCCGTAATTCGTCGGTGTAATGAGGTGGATTGGCTCTTCACCGCAATCTATGCTAGTCTATGTGCTCACTCTCGAACTGAACTGTGGGATTATCTGGCAGGTGTAGCTCATGGCCTCTCTCTACCTTGGTTAGTGGCTGGTGATTTCGACCAAATTATGGCTCATTCTGAAAAACAAGGAGGTGCCTCATCTCATCGTCAATTAATTATGTTCTGGGATAATATTAATCGTTGTCACCTTTTAGATTTGGGTTTCTCAAGGCCGAAATTCACCTGGACAAACGGGCGCAAAAGGGTTGCTAATATTAAAGAGCGAATTGATCGAGCTCTTTGTACTGATTCGTGGCGTCATTTATTTCCAGAGGCGTGGGTCCAGCACCTTCCCATGATAAACTCTGATCACTGTCCTTTACTAATTTCTTTGTTTGGGACAATTCCTCAACACTCTGAACGCCCATTCCGAATTGAGGCAGCTTGGCTAACTCACCCTACCTTTAAGGATGTTGTTCATCATTCTTGGAGCTTCGCAGAGAATAATTTGCCTTTAACCATTGATCGTCTTGTGCATGCTGTTACTATTTGGAATAAAGAAGTCTTTGGGAATATTTTCTGGAGAAGGAACAAGGTTTTGGGTAGACTGAGTGGTATCCAACGAGCCTTGGGCTCTTCCCCTAAATCATTTCTGGAGCAACTTGAATCGGAACTTACACAAGAATACAATAGAATTCTTCTTCAGGAGGAGGTTCTTTGGTTTCAAAAGTCTCGATCTAACTGGCTTATGTTTGGTGATGCTAACACTCGCTTTTTCCATACTTCCACTCTAATTCAACATAAACGAAATAGAGTCATGGCTCTAAGAAATGATGATGGTTCTTGGTGTTCAGATCAACTGGAGTTACAACGTAAAGCTATTCAACATTTTCAAAAGTTGTTCCAATTTGAGTCTGGGATCTCCACTTCTCCTTTAACTCACTCATTGCCGATCTTAACCCCTAGAGAGGTGGCGCTTCTCAATCGTCCTATTTCAGCTACTGAAGTTAAAGATGCTATTTTTTCATTGGATCCTTACAAAGCCCATGGTCTTAATGGAATTCAACCTTTCTTTTATCAACAACTTTGGGATGTTGTTGGGCCGACTCTCACCATAGTTATTCAGCAGATGTTTGCCTCTGGAGACATTCCCACAGATTTGAATAAGACTCTCATCACCCTCATTCCTAAGGTGGATCATCCCTCTACTATGAATCATTTTCGCCCCATCTCCTTGAGCAATGTCACCATGAGAATTTTATCCAAAATTCTGGTATTTCGGGTACGCCCTTTTCTCACGAAGCTTGTTAATCCTCTTCAGAGCAGCTTTATTCCTGGTAGACAAGCTACGGATAATATCGTGCTCGTTCAATAGCTTCTTCATTCCATGCATAAGTCCAAAAGCTCTAAAGGGGCCATGGCCATTAAAATTGATCTTGAAAAGGCGTATGATAGAATTGAATGGCCGTTTTTGGAGCAGGTTCTGAATGAGATAGGGTTCCCCTTTTCTTGGATCACTCTGATTATGAAGTGTGTCTCTATAACTCAGCTAGCCATCCTTTGGAATGGCGCCTCAACTTCCTTTTTCCAACCCTCCAGAGGGTTAAGACAAGGAGATCCTCTTTCCCCTTACCTCTTCCTCTTCTGTAAATGTGAATAATAACTAACTATAGATAATACATTTATATACAATGGAGATTAGATATTATTCTGGGAAAATTTTGACTTTTCTTTTAGTATGTTTTTATATATTGTATATATAATTGTATAATCAAAGTTTCAATTGTAACTTTAGTCTCATATGTAAGTATGAATTTATAATTTTTTGGGGTCGTTAAAACTCGTGAATAGGCTTGAGCTCGAGTCAAGCCTAAGCCAACTCGGCTCGAGCTTGATTCGTTAAATTTTTATTGAACTCAAGTTCGATTCGAACTCGTTAAAATCTTAATAAATATATCCAAACATACTAAAATTCAGTTAGGCTAGGCTTGTTTGCAACTCTACATATAACCATGTTGAGAGAACTAAGATTCGTCTTGAACCAGTTTTTGATTTGCTGTGGCAGTCTAGTAGTTGCATATGCTATGCTAAGATCCTTTATACAGGTTCTTATTTCCCAGAAAGTCTGACATGGAAATTGCTTAATTGCAATGAAGAAATAAGGAGGATGCTGCTATGTTTCTCGACATATTTGAAGTTAGTACTGTCTACAATTGAGATGTATTTTCCTAGGCTATGTATCATGCGTAACAGGTAAACCTTGGTTGTGTAACACATTCATGTGGACTCACATTTGTGTTGTACCCGAAACACAAGATGTCATCACATTTTCGTTTTCTTACCTTCATGGATGTATGATGTTCTGATGAGCTTAGATACTAGGAGGCATTATGCATTGGCTTGAAATTGAAGCTCTCTTTCTTTACATGTGAAGGCTTGAAGTTATATCATTGATTCATTGCCTCTGTACTTATGCTCAAGCTTGCTAGACTTTGAGCCGTTGTACTCCTTGACAATAGCCAAAACTAATGAAGACATGTAGCGGCATAAATGTTATATCATGCTTAAGAAAATGAACACGTTTGCACAACTAGTTGAAATTTATGTGCTGGATATCCAAAAAGTGTACTGATCTACCTAAATTTGTGGGCCGATCAAAATACATGTTTGGTTCACGCCTTGCCTAGTGTATGAACAAAATCGGACTCCATGCTTAGGGCTGTCTGTTGGGCTTGTTCTCTCAAATTTTAACCTAGTATGCTTAGCGGATGTTTGGTCTAGGTGTAGTCCAATCAGAGTCAAGGCTTGAGGCCCAAATCCAATCCAACAAATAGCTAATTTGGTTTTACTGGAGATGGACCAACCAAAATTCATTTATCAACCTTTTGAAGGACAGGTGGAGGATCTTTTTTCGGTTTGACAAAAAAATATGGGTAATTCTTTTTCTACACACTAATTTCTCTCGGTATACATATTTAATAAACATTTTTTCAATACACATTATAAAATTATAAATTCTTAGTACACATCTTTATATTCTCATATTACCCTCATTTTCAATTTTAAAACCCTAAGGTTATGTTTGGTTTCAATGTTTGAATCGATTTTTTGAAATTTTTTTGAGAAATTTATAAATTAATTTGAAAAAAATAAATAGCAAAAAAATATTTTTTAATTTTTTTGTTCCTAGAAAGATAAAATCATAATGAAATGAGATGTTTTTATTTATTCATTTTTTAAAACATATTCTAAAATTAGATTAAAAATAGTCTATTTTTTTATTTATTCACCAATCCCTCCTTTATTGCCGTTGTCGCAATTTCAATCCTCTATCGCCGCCGCCACTGCCACTTCTAGTTCATCCCCCTCCATCCTAGACCTTGACAATCAACCTTTGAGTGATTTGCGGTGGAAAACTTGTGCGAGTGTATGATTCATGGCAAAAAGTAATCGCAGATGAAGAGGGAAATTTGAAAGTAAAATCTCAAGCAATTGTATAGAGGCAATCAAGGAATGAAAAAGGCGTGACAAAGTTCATATCAAATTAAGATTTGACTTTCCATAACTACAATGGAGTTAAGGAGAGAAAGTGCTCGTGAACCCTTTTCTACCGAAGAAGCCGATTTGCTCCGGCGTAGTAAAAAGAAGGTTAAAATAAGGTGAGAGAATGGGTCGATAGAAGAGATCGGTGTGGTTGAAGTCAACACTGTTGAATTGAAAGGCGTCGAATATAGCCCCCGTGGTACCCAAGTGTTTTCCTTTCGAGAGGCCCTTACAAATGATAATACCAAACGCTGGTATACTGGCGATAGTGAGGATGATGAACTTGTTGATTCTGTCGATGTTGATGGTGATAGCGCAGGTTCCACCTCTCACTGGCCTCGGCTCTCTGTTCCACTGGATGAATTAGTCAAACTCCGAGCTCTATGGCGCAAAGCTCTCATCGTTAAAGACTTAGGGCGAACCGTTGGTTTTAGTCTCCTAACCCAGGGGATGAAACAAGTGTGGCAATTACAACAGCATTTTGACATAGTTGACGTCGGAGAGGGTTACTACTTGATTCGTTTTGCTTGTAAAGTGGATTACCTTCATGTCCTTCTTGATGGGCCATGGATTGTTCTTGGGCATTACTTAACGGTGAGCAAATGGTGACCTGATTTCCGATCAGTTTTTGATGACCTCCCTTCTACACTGGTATGGGTTCGATTTCTTGGTATCCCGATTGACTATTTTAATGAGCAATTATTGATGTGGTTAGGGAATTTGCTTGAGCGGGCTATTAAAACTGATAGGCTTTCCGCTGATGCCACTAAAGGGAGGTTTGCAAGAGTTTGTGTTAAGCTCAATCTGAAACATGCACTCATCTCTAGGGTGAGCATCAATAATATTGAATTCCTTGTAGAATATGAAGGCTTACATCTTATTTGTTTTGAGTGTAGCAAGTATGAGCATCGTCAGGAAGTTTGTCCGTCATTGGTTCTAGTGCCAGCACCCGAAGTTGAGATGGGGATTATCCAATTGCTGACGGCCAGAGTTGAGAAGGGTCAGAAATTTGGACCATGGATGATAGCGCAGACACGTAATAGGGGTACGGCCACTAATCGCTCTCGTACAACCTCTGCCACAAAGGGTGATTCGGTAACCATGTCCCAGGGTGCTCGTGCGTCGCCTAATGCACGACCCACTCTGCACAAGGGTAAGGCAGTTATGTCACTGGCACCTCAGGCTCTCGTTTTTCAATCCTACATGAAGGGGACATTACTGAATTACACAACTCTTTTGGGCCATTTAACTCTTTTGATAATTTATCAATCGGGCCTTTCGAGTTGGGCCATGGTTCTACTTCTGGGCCCTCCCCCAGTACTGAACAGCAGCAGCCAAGTTCCAAGGCCCATTCCAATAAGCCCAAAGCTCATTCTTCTATTCCTAAGGCCTTTAATGCCTCTCCCAGTTAGACAAACCATCCTAAATTTTCATAGTCACACACATTCCTAATCCCCCTCCCAATCTTCCACATCCTACACTCCTCCCTACCCCCTTCCCTTCTTCCACCTCTCTGGACAATTTTCGCCCCCTTCTCTCATTTAAAGCTAGAGGATCTGTTAAGAGCCACACCGATGGATCGGTTTTGCAACCTACAACCCCCACCATTGCCATCTCCTTTCCAGATGATCGAATTCCTGAGATTTCTACTTGTGCCAATCATGGTCGACCACCGGGCCACTCGGCCCACCTTTGGTCATTCCTCCCGAGATAATCACTATGGTCCTATTGAAAATGAGCCCTATTCACAACGTTTCAATGAAGCTGGGGAGAGTTGCGAGTTTACAGATGGTGTTGCAACAGGGTTTGATCGTTCAGGATCAACCCAGATAGAGCTCTAGCCAAGTGTTTGGCCTCCCATTAATAATCATCCCCATGAAGCTCCTTGTTTGGAATTGTAGAGGTGCTGGTGGTGCTACAACTGTCCATACGATTTGTGAGCTTGTTCGAGCGCACGACCCGGCGGTCTTGGTGTTACTTGAAACCAGGGTTCAAAGTCTAAAAGCTAATCGTATCCTTCGTAGGATTAGATTCTTAGCCATGGCCACTGTTGAAGCGGTGGGTTTTGTCCGTGGGATATGGTTATTATGGAGAACTGACTTGGTTAATGTGGAGGTTCTACCACCACATTCTCAAGCTTTAAGTGTCGTAATTCGTCGGTGTAATGAGGTGGATTGGCTCTTCACCGCAATCTATGCTAGTCTATGTGCTCACTCTCGAACTGAACCGTAGGATTATCTGGCAGGGGTAGCTCATGGCCTCTTTCTACCTTGGTTAGTGGCTGGTGATTTCGACCAAATTATGGCTCATTCTGAAAAACAAGGAGGTGTCTCCTCATCTCATCGTCAATTAATTATGTTCTGGGATAATATTAATCGTTGTCACCTTTCAGATTTGGGTTTCTCGAGGCCGAAATTCACCTGGACAAACGGGCGCAAAGGGGTTGCTAATATTAAAGAGCGAATTGATCGAGCTCTTTGTACTGATTCGTGGTGTCATTTATTTCCAGAGGCGTGAGTCCAGCACCTTCCCATGATAAACTCTTATCACTGTCTTTTACTAATTTCTTTGTTTGGGACAATTCCTCAACACTCTAAACGCCCATTCCGAATGGAGGCAGCTTGGCTAACTCACCCTAAGGATGTTGTTCATCATTCCTGGAGCTTCGCAGAGAATAATTTGCCTTTAACCATTGATCGTCTTGTGCATGCTGTTACTATTTGGAATAAAGAAGTCTTTGGGAATATTTTCTGGAGAAGGAACAAGGTTTTGGGTAGACTGAGTGGTATCCAACGAGCCTTGGGCTCTTCCCCTAAATCATTTCTGGAGCAA